CTGTAGTTGTTACAGTCTGTGCTGTCCCCCTTCTCAAAGAGGGGGACCTCCAGGACATCCTTCCAATCCTGCTGAACCCGTCCAGTGGTCCAGACTGTTGTTATGATGTCATATAGGGCAATCTGTGCACAAACGCCACCCTCCCTCAGCATTTCGCTTGGGAGATCATCTCTGCCTGGTGCCTTTCCTGGTCTCAGACTCCGGATCGCCATCAGTACTTTCTCAACTGATGGCACCTCAGCCAGCCACTCAGAGGGGGTGACTTCTTCCAATATTTGAGGCACCGCAACCTCAGCAGGGTCATCCCCACTTTGTGCCACGATGTTTTTCTAGCTGAGGGATTTCCCCTCTCCCAGGACCTCACAGAAATGATCAGCAAATCTGCAAACCTGTTCCTGGGGGTCGGAGATTGGATCACCGTTTTTTCCCCTAATGATGGTAATAGGTGTGGCTCTGCAGGTTACTTTTTTGATGGAGTTAAATAGAGATTTGTGATCGCGGGCCACTGAGGCAGACTCCATCTCCTCAGCAACTCGCGACCACCACCCATCCTTGCAGCACCTCACCCCTCTCCGAACCTCCGAGCGAAGGCTGTGGTAAGCCTCCTCTTTCTCTGACGTGGGATTCTGTAGCCGATGACAGTGGGCCTGTCGCTTTTTCTCAACCATCCTGAACACCTCCTCTGTCAGCCAGGGTCTCTGGGGAGGTCTGGACCGCGTACCCAAAGCAGCCATTGCAGCTGCATGAGTCACAGTCCTAAACTTCGCCCATTTACCCTCGACATCAGGAGGAGTCGGGGACGATGCGCATTTCAGCCGCAAGCGATGATGAAATTCTCGCTTGCAACTTTCATCAGATAACTGAGACCAGGCCACTTTAGGTTGGAATGGGGTCCTGATTGTACACCGACCACCGGAGTGTAAGAATGGCAGGTGCATCTTACAGATGACTAGTCGATGGTCAGAGGGCAGATCAGCTCCACGGTAGGTCCTGGTGTCAAGGATATGGGCTCGCATCCGCTGGTCCGTCACTATGTAGTCCAGCAGATGTTCTTGCTTGGACCCGGCATGCATCCATGATGTTGTGTGGATGCGCCGATTCCAGAAGAGCGTGTTGGTAATTACAAGCCCATGGGCTGCACAAAAATCTATCAGCCTCCTACCTTTGTTATTGAGCTGATCTGGCCCTACACACACACACCTACACACACACACACACACCTACACACACCTACACACACCTACACACACACACCTACACACGCCTACACACACCTACACACACCTACACACACCTACACGCACACACCTACACACACCTACACGCACACACCTAGACACACCTACACAAACCTACACACACTTACACACACCTACACACACACACCTACACACGCCTACACACACACACCTACACACACCTACACACACCTACACACACCTATACGCACACACCTACACACACCTACACAAACCTACACACACACACTTACACACACCTACACACACATCTACACACACCTATACAAAGATCCCCCATATAGCCTTAACATACTTTTGGGGCAAGTGCTGTTAGCGAGCACCTATGAAGGTCGATACGGCACACGAGGGGGTCGGTGAGCACCACCACGCCCGGCCGCCTTTGTCTCCCCAGTGGCAATATTTACACACCGCAACAGGTACTCGTTTGAGGCACGCACAAATATCCCCCGAATAGCCTTTACAGACTGTAGGGGGCAAGTGCTGTTGGCGAGCACCTGTTGCGCTGGACATCTGTGATAAAGAGCTTGATAGCTCATCGGATTCATCCTGCAGTCTAAATAAACATTGAAGTTCTGATTCGGTGTGGCAAGTACCTGTTAGGAGCACGGCATGGGTGGCCAACACCACGCCCGGCCGCCTTTGTCTCCCCAGTGGCGATGTTTACTACACACCGCACCAGGTACTCATCTGAGGCTGAGTCGACCTAGTGGAGGCCCATCACCGGTTCGGATAATCGTCACCGGTGTTGGTGGCCGTGAGCCGGAATCGAACTCGGGTCCGCCGGGTTCTTAGCGCAGCGTAGCGCTAACCGCTGCGCCACCGCTCCCACACACACATACACACACACACACGGTCACGTACACAGAGACAAAGGTCCCCCGTATAGCCTGTTCTAGGGGTCAAGTGCAATTATCGAGCGGCTACGAAGGCTGTGGTGTCGTTGGCTGTCGCCACGCCCGGCCGCCTTCGTCTCCCCGGTGCTGATGCATACGCGCCGTGGAAGCTATTCATTTAAGGCCGAGCCGACCTAGGGGAGGCGCAGGAGGACCGGTTCAGATATTCGTCGTGAAGCGGTAATCGAACTCGGGTGGCCAAGTTCGACGGCGCAGTCCGCTAACCACTGCACCACCACTCCGCAACATACAAAGTTGGGGGCGGTGACGCAGTGGTTGTACTTGATGCCATTTAGTAAATTTTGTCCTTTCACTGTTCGTTCTTTATTTACTTATCGTGACTGGATTACCGCTGGGGTTTTACATTTCGCACTCCTTTCCTTGATCGTTAGGGGGTCCGCGGTGGCTAGGAGATGTTAACTACCTCGCCTGGTATACAGGAGGTCGTGGGTTAGATCCCGAACCTGACGCCCGCTGCTGTATATTTGGAGTTTGCGTGTCTCTCTCTCATCATCATCACGGTGGCTAGGAGATGTTAACTACCTCGCCTGGTATACAGGAGGTCGTGGGTTCGATCCCGACACCGACGCGTGCTGCTGTATATTTGGAGTTTGCGTGTCTCTCTCTCTCATCATCATCACGGTGGCTAGGAGATGTTAACTACCTCGCCTGGTATACAGGAGGTCGTGGGTTCCATCCCGACACTGACGCCTGCTGCTGTATATTTCGAGTTTGCGTATCTCTCTCTCTCTCATCATCATCAAGGTGGCTGGGAGATGTTAACTACCTCGCCTGGTACACAGGAGGTCGTGGGCTCAATCCCCACACTGACGTCTGCTGCTGTATATTTGGAGTTTGCGTCTCTTTCTCTCCCCGTGGTCGCGTGGAATTTTTCTTGCTCCGGTTCCTCCGGTTGGTTTTTTCCCCTCCACATTTCGAATATTTGGCTGGCTGCAGCTATGAATTCCCACGTGCCGTTGACGGTGACGGTAAGTCACTTCGTTGGGCAATCATTGGTAACCAGGTCACTTCTGAAAAAAAGCTGCATACAGTAGTAGCTCCTTGAGCCTGACCTGGTAATATTAAATAAAGAAGTTAAGTTTAGTTTTTAAAGGAACAAAAAAAAACTTGTTAACCCGCCCCTTGTCCCAACAGTCTGTTCAGGCTACACGAGGTTTGGGGATCTTTGTCTTTGACAGTAATATACAAAGACAACAACCCCCCCCCGCCCCCCCCCAGGTTAACCTTCAACAGACTGTTGGGGCAAGTGCTGCTAGCGAGTAGCAGGCACGGCTGCACGAGGGGAGGTGGGTGGCCAGCACCTCGCGCGGCACGACGCGAAACACCCACGCGCGTCTCAGCCTTTTGTTCCTCTACCCATTGTCATTAGTCCACGCGGTCGGTTCTTACGTCATAGTGTGTTGGGGGGGGGAGGGGTGGCTGGGAGGGGGAGGGGGAGGGGTTACTCGCCCTTACTGGAGCCTCCTCCTCCTCCTCGGTTCCCTGCGCTCTGCTCGCCACCGCCGAGGTCCAAGGTGAACCTCCCTACCTTGGAACTTTGCTCGCTCGCCCGAGGCTTTTCACCCCAGAAACACCACCACCCCCGGCCACCCCCCCCCCCCCGCTTTGTGCCTCTGAGGCCCAGAGTCTCATCTGGACCCCCATGGGTTTCCTTTCTCCGTCACCCCAAATGACAAAGGTCAAACTCTCTCTCTCTCTCTAACTATGATCTTGATTTGAAGCTTTCGTTCGGTTTCAGTTTCATTTATTGGGTACAGACTCCTGTGAGCCGTGCGGCTCTTGACTCGGGTGCAATCGCGACAAAACAGAAACACGAACAAGAAAAACGTCTTGAAGCGACGACGCGCAAACAGAAACATCCTGGGGAAAAAAAAAAACCAGCAAAAGTCTTCCAGAAAAAAAGCACAGCATGTCCAACGCTGTGCGCAAAAATCCCAGTGGCATGCGAGTCAAACGATGACGACCACAAGTCAATGCAGATTAAAGTTATCAGGCTAACTCTGTACTACGACAAAGCAAACGTGGCTAAGCCAAAACGCTTTCGAAAATCAACCGAAAATAAGGCGATCAAAAAACAATGTAACAGCGTCTTCTTTGGTTCTTTCGGTAAAGTCACGGAGAATGGAGATAAAATTATAATAATTATTATTAATAATAATAAAAATAATTATTATTGTCATTAATAAGAAAAAATAATAATTATTATTATTATGAATAAAAATAATGATTATTCTTTCGGTAAAGTCACGTAGAATGGAGATAAAATAATAATAATCATTATTATTACGAATAAAAATAATTATTAATATTATTTCGGTAAAGTCACGTAGAATGGAGATAAAATAATAAAAAACATAATTATTAATAAAAAAATTATTATTAATTAAAAATATATCTCCATTCTACGTGACTTTACCGAAAGAACCCAGAAGATGAATCCCTGCAGTCACGAACGCTTTAAATCGAAATTTAATGAGGCAGTGATCAATAGGAACTGTGATTCAAATTTAACAACAAACGAAACGCGTATCATGTACGAGGCGAGTCTGGCCACCACACGAATGAAAAGCTGAACGAGGTTGCTTGCCTTCGTCGTCACGTGGACATGCCTTGGTCGTCACGTGGACGTGCCTTCGTCGTCACGTGGACGTGCCTTCGTCGTCACGTGGACGTGCCTTCGTCGTCACGTGGACATGCCTTCGTCGTCACGTGGACATGCCTTGGTCGTCACGTGGACATGCCTTGGTTGTCACGTGGACATGCCTTCGTCGTCACGTGGACGTGCCTTCGTCGTCACGTGGACATGCCTTCGTCGTCACGTGGACATGCCTTGGTCGTCACGTGGACATGCCTTGGTCGTCACGTGGACATGCCTTGGTCGTCACGTGGACATGCAAAGCGAGGAACCAACTCGCTCTGAACGCGTGGAGTCGTTACTTGACCGAAAAAACCAAAGCGTCGATTCTAAATGTTTGGAGGGAGATAAAAACAAAAACGGAGGACCGAGAGAAAATTACAAATATGCAGCAGCAGCAGCAGGCGTCATGGTCGGGATCTAACGCACGACCTCCTGTATACCAGGCGAGGTAGTTACCATCTCCTAGTCACAGTGATGTTGATGATGAGAGAGAGAGAGACACGCAAACTCGAAATATACAGCAGCAGGCGTCGGGGTCGAGATCGAACCCACGACCTCCTGTATATATCAGGCGAGGTAGTTAACATCTCCTAGTCACCGTGATGTTGATGATGAGAGAGAGAGAGACACGCAAACTCGAAATAAACAGCAGCGGGCGTCAGGGTCGGGATCTAACCCACGACCTCCTGTATACCAGGCGAGGTAGTCAACATCTCAAGACAACACGTAAAGCCTTTTAACAGACTGTAGGGGCAAGTGCTGTTAGCGAGCGCCTATGAGGGTTGGAACGGCACACGAGGGGCTGGGTGGCCAACACCGCGCCCGGACGCCTTTGTCTCCCCGGTGGTGATGTTTACACATCCCTAGAGCTCATCTTTCTAGGGGAGGGGGAGGGCCCTTCCCCTCCTGCAACTCCGATGACTACGGTTGGCTGCGTACTGTGCGACACATAGATATACTCACATAGTCACTCACCCACTCACACAGTCACTCACCCACTCACATAGTCGCTCACCCACTCACACAGTCACTCACCCACTCACACAGCCACTCATCCACTCACACAGTCACTCACCCACTCACATAGTCACTCATCCACTCACACAGTCACTCACCCACTCACATAGTCACTCATCCACTCACATAGTCACTCACATAGTCACTCACATAGTCACTCACCCACTCACATAGTCACTCATCCACTCACATAGTCACTCACCCACTCATATAGCCGCTCACCCACTCACACAGTCACTCACCCACTCACATAGTCACTCACCCACTCACATAGTCACTCACCCACTCACATAGTCACTCACCCACTCACATAGTCACGCACCCACTCACATAGTTACTCATCCACTCACATAGTCACACACCCACTCACACAGTCACTCATCCACTCACATAGTCACTCATCCACTCACACAGTCACTCACCCACTCACATAGTCACTCGCCCACTCACATGGTCACTCATCCACTCACACAGTCACTCACCCACTTACATAGTCGCTCACCTACTCACATAGTCACTCACGCACTCACACGGTCACTCACCCACTCACATAGTCACTCACCCACTCACATAGTCACTCACCCACTCACATAGTCACTCACCCACTCACATAGTCACTCACCCACTCACATAGTCACTCACGCACTCACACGGTCACTCACCCACTCACATAGTCACTCACCCACTCACATAGTCACTCACCCACTCACATAGTCACTCACCCACTCACATAGTCACTCACCCACTCACATAGTCACTCACCCACCCACTCACATAGTCACTCACCCACTCACATAGTCACTCACCCACTCACATAGTCACTCACTCACAGAGTCACTCACCCACTCACATAGTTACTCACCCACCCACTCACATAGTCACTATCCCACTCACATAGTCACCCACTCACTCACTCACATAGTCACTCACCCACTCACATAGTCACTCACCCACTCACATAGTCACTCACCCACTCACATAGTCACTCACCCACGCACAGTCACTCACCCACTCACATAGTCACTCACCCACTCACATAGTCACTCACGCACTCACACGGTCACTCACCCACTCACATAGTCACTCACCCACTCACATAGTCACTCACCCACTCACATAGTCACTCACCCACTCACATAGTCACTCACCCACTCACATAGTCACTCACCCACCCACTCACATAGTCACTCACCCACTCACATAGTCACTCACCCACTCACATAGTCACTCACTCACAGAGTCACTCACCCACTCACATAGTTACTCACCCACCCACTCACATAGTCACTATCCCACTCACATAGTCACCCACTCACTCACTCACATAGTCAATCACCCACTCACATAGTCACTCACCCACTCATAGTCACTCACCAACACACATAGTCACTCACAACAGCATTAACAGACTGTAGGGGCAAATGCTGTTCGCGAGCACCTATGAAGTCTGGAACGGCACACGAGGGGGTTGGTGGCCAACACCGCGCCCGGCCGCTTTTGTCTCCCCAGTGGCGACGGTTGACGCGCCGCACCAAAGACAAAGACCCCCCCTCCCCCCCGTATAGCCTGAACAGACTTTTGGGGCAAGTGCTGCTAGCGAGATAATCGTCACTGGGTGTTGGTGGCCGTGAGAGGGAATCGAACTCGGGTGGCCCGGTTCGAGGCGCTGCGCGCTGACCAATACAACACCGCTCCACGGGTGGGTGAGAGCCATTTCAGCACAACCGACGGGAGGAAGCCACTGATGGATGTACACCGTGTGTTGAACTTCTTTTAGCACCGTGATGATGATGATGATGAGAGAGACGAAGACAACCATTGCTAGTCGGAGGATGGGTGAGTGTGTGGGTGAGTGACTGTGTGAGTTGGTGAGTGACTGTGTGAGTGACTGTGTGAGTGGGTGAGTGACTATTTGAGTGGGTGAGTGACTATGTGAGTGTGTGGGTGAGTGACTATGTGAGTGGGTGAGTGACTATGTGAGTGGGTGAGTGACTATTTGAGTGGGTGAGTGACTACGTGAGTGGGTGAGTGACTATGTGAGTG